CGTCGGCAGCGGCGACGCTGTCGGCGGCGACAACTCGGGTATAGCCAGGACCCCGGGTAAGGGGACCCGGTTTTAGTGGTAGGGCCCTGGGGCCCTTGAATTGGCCAGAATCACTAAACCAGGTTTGCCGTAACTGGTGCTTTTCGGGTGACGGCAGCTCCGGTCAGTGGAACTGGGGCGGGGGGGCGCCCCCGGCACAAATCACTAAACCATGTTCCACTAAACCCAGTTCTGCCACCGTCCGATCAGGGTGGGCCCCTTGAGCAGTGGCCGTGTGCGGACTTCGGCGCCCTGCCCCTGCGCCCTCGGGCCGCGGCTGCGCCCTCGGGCCGCGGCTGCGCCCGCCGCGCCGCGCCCGCGGCGCCCCGTCCATGCCCCGGCACGTGCTGGACGTGGCCAGCGCGCAGGACCCGCCCGCTGCTCGGGGACAGCAAGTCTCAGGTCGGGCGCGTCCTCCCCCTACAGGGGGATTTTGGACGAAGAATAAAAATATTCAATACTATTCCAAAGATGCCCCAACATATTCCAATAATAGTCTCCAGTTTTTGTTGTTCTAAAAAAAGGACAAACAAACATAGCAAAACAACTATTTTTGGATATTCCCCCTGTAGAGGGACAGGCCCGACTTAAACAAAGTCGGCAACGCGCAAGGGAGGGGGTGGGGGGAGGGGGGAGGCTTCTTGGGGAAGCGCCCTGCCCCTTAGAGGGCTCGGGCCTTGCCTGTAGATGTACGCGTCTACGCCTTCTGAGAAGCAGCCTCCTGTTGAGAAGCCTTCCTCTGTCCCCCTACGTTCGTATGCAACTCCTGGGAGGTCAAATTCTGATCTAGCCCTGGTCCGGAATCCGGCTTAATCCGGTTCAATCCCGCTTAATCCGGCTAAATCCTGCTTAATCTCGCTGACGCAATCCGGCTTAATCCTGCTGCGCCGTTGGGGCCGGGGGGTCTCGACGCCGTCATCGTCGGGCCGTCTCGGGGCGCGGCGGAGAACTCCATCGAGGCCCCCGCCCGCCCCTCATCAAGCAGTGGCGAAGCGTCCTGGCTCGCCTATAGCCCTACCAAACAATGTTCTAAGAACATTGTGTGGTTCCCACGAACTGTTCTTGTAACATTTCTGGCGGAGACTGTCTTGTTTTATCACATCGCGTTTATGTTCTAAGACCATTGTTTGTTTTCGTTCTTAGAACATTTCTGGGTTCTGAGAACATTTCGTGGTAGGGCTAAAGGAAGGCCGGGACGGTCGGTCCCTGCTCAACCTCAGGGTGTCCCCCAGGGCGCCGATCGCAAACCGCAGCCTGGGCAAACCTCACCTTTCGGAGTCGCCGAGCGCTGCCCCGCGGCAGCACCCCCGCTCGGCAACGGCAGCACCCGGACATCCGGCGCCTCGACAACATCGGGATGGAGGCCTTGTATCTCGTGTTCGGCCCCTCGGAGCCCTCGCCGGGCCTCGGGGCCGTTGTCTGACGGGATGAAAGATTGGTCCCAGGGAAGGTGGTGGAGAGTCGGGCCAGACGACAGGGGGGGATTGGGAAAGGGGGGGTTACGAAATTTGCTGCATGCAGCTGGTTTCGGCCCCACCGAGGGGCCCATTCCTCGATACATAGCCGCCTCCGTCGCCGGGAGGCGCCGGGAAAATCAGCCACGTGAGCTGATTCTCAACCCCCCTCTTTGCTATCCTCCCCTTTCGCCCGACCCGAGATAGGTCGGGAGCCCGTGTCTCAGAAAAATCGAGACGCCGGATGTCTGGGGCTCCCTGGGGGCGCACCAGCTCGGCACCGGCACTGCCCTCAGTTTTCCTCCCCCCCGCCTGGAGACGAGGAAGGAGGCAGGGAAGACTCAGGCAGGACTCCTCCTTTTGACGTTGGGCGGACTTCGGCAACGGCGCTGCTGCCTCCTCGCAGCCCTCCCTCGGAAAGGAGCCCAGAGCGAGACCCGTGACGTCCAGAAGCTGGTCGTCGTCGTCGTCGTCGTCGTCGTCGTCGTCGTCGTCCTCGCCCTCGCCCTCACCCTCGCCCTCGCCTTCACCCTCGCCCTCGCCCTCACCCTCGCCCTCGTCCTCGTCCTCGTCCTCGTTCTGCACATCCTCCTCCTCCTCTTTGTCGTCGTCGCCGCGTCAACATTTCGCCCATGAGCCTCAGCAGGAGCCTCCGTCGCAGCACGGCAGAGGCAATCCGCACGGGCGCGCTCGCTGTAATTAGCCGGGGACGCTGGACGAAGCAGTCGTCCAGGTGCAGGAGCGGGGGCGTGGGAGGGCAGGGCGGCCGCGGAGAGAGCGGAGAGGGGGGTGAGGCTGCGCTCATCGGTCAGGAGGGAACGGCACACACAGACACAAGCAATCGTCGATCCCCCAGAAGATATGGGGAAACATGGGAAGGGGAGGGGAAGACAAAAGCCCAGAAATTTTAGGGGAATCCTTTTAGTTGTGTGTACTTATTTGTGTGTCCCAGGGCCCCTTCAATTGGTGAAAGAATTTCACGGCGAGCGCGCCGGCAGCCCTGATAGACAGCCCAGGCAGGATTACCTTCTGGGGCCCCAGGGGCCCGAAGAGTACCTCCTGGAAGATTCGTTGATGCATGGCCTCCTCTAGCACCAGGGTGCGCCTGAAAATCAACCGCCGACATTCCTTGTCGATCTCCCCTCTTTTTCTTTCGGCCACCCCGAAAGTTCACCTGGAGGGCCTCCGTGGAGCAGTGGCTGCCTTTGGAACCTCCATGGTTGGATGCCAACTGCATCTACGCCAAGCATCCTGACCAAGGTATTCCTCCTGGCCAAGCCCATCGCGGGCCCAGGAACCGCGCGCGTGTGTGTGTGTGTGTGTGTGTGTGTGTGTGTGTGTGTGTGTGTGTCGTGAGTGTGTGTGTGTGTGTGTGCGCGCGCGCGCGCGCGCGTGTGTGTTTGTGTGTGTGCGTGCGCGCGAGTGTGTGTGTGTGTGTGTGTGCGTGCGTGTGTCCGTGTGGGCGTGCGTGCGTGCGTGTCTGTATGAGTGTGTGTGTGTGTGTGTGCGTGCCTTCCTGGCTACGCCAGGATGGCGTGTGTGTCGATCCTGGGCAGAGGACAGGGGCTGGTCGGGATCGGCTCAGTGTGTATAGCTGGCGCCCTCAGACCATATGGTAACTAGTGGCTGTCCTCGCCGCCGCCGCCGCTCCCGCGGAGGAGAGGCCGCTCCATGGCAGCCACGAGCGGGAGGCGCTGGTCGGGGCGCGGGAGGCGCCCGTTTGTGTGCGGGTGACGGCGGGGGTGCAGCGGTGTCATGGTCGTCGTCGTCGTCGTCGTCGTCGTCGTCGCCGTGTCGTTATCGTCGCAGCCACGACAGCTGCCGTCGTCGTCGGGAGGTATTGGAGTGGCCCAAGATAGGAGCTGACCCTGAACAGTTGGGCTGTGAACGTGTACACGTATACCTGCGGAGGCACACGCGTGTACATACGTACACGTGCACATACGCATACACATATACACATGCATATACGCCTGCATGTACATGCACAACGGCATATGCTTCGCTCAGACTTGTCTGTGGGAGTCGCGGCCCACTCCCACGTCCGCTCCCTCGGGCGAAGCGTTGTTGCTTTGGTCACACTTGGGTACTGAAGAGAGGGTCCAGCCCTCGCCCTCGCACCCTTTGCAACCACCAACCACTACGTGCCTGTGGGGATGGCTTCTTCTTCTGGTCCAACTGGTGTGCAGCAACGCCGTGATGCTTCTCGTCGTCCTCGGGGCGCCATCGCTGGCTCTGCCAGATCGCATGGGGAGACCCCTGGGGGCAAGAGGCCGAAGCTTGAGGAGGAGCAGGAGGCTCGTGCGGCCAATGCTGCAGAGTTTCGGAAGGACGGAAGGACGAGCTAGGCGATGCAAGTCTGCCTGGTCCTCTCTCTGTCAAGGTCCCTTAGGAATCGGCATTCCCGCTTGGAGCTGACGGACACCCGACCGTACCCGACAGAGGCAAAGACCCAGTTTGCAAGTTCGAGCTTGATAACAATCTCGCCGACCTGAAGTCAGATGTCCTGTGGTCCGTCTCGGCCACTACCGAGGCCTGGCCACAAAGTTCTCCGACAATACCCAGAAGGCGCTACGAACGTTCGCAGCGCAACAGGAGGCCAAGCATGAGGCCACCGATCTCCGACTTTATGAACTCGATGCTCGACAGACTTGCAATGGAACGTGACCGCAAACGTGTGGCTCGGATGCACGCAGTGCTCCATTGGCCCGGATGCAGGCAGTGCTTCATCAATGTGAGCAGGCTGCTCCTGAGGCTGACTATGGCGACGTCGTTGGTTTCATTCGTGAGCCCAACCGCACGGTCTTTGTGGCGACCACGAAGGTGGCGGTATCGGCGCACAGTATTCAGGTGGCGGCTCGTCCTTGGCTCGAGGAGGCGGGCTTCCAGGATGAACAATGGCACGTCGTTGGTGACTCCCCCTCCCGTCGCTTCGTCATTGCGTTCAAAGGCGCTCCTGGGTTGGCTGCAAAACACGTTGTCCATATTCATTAGAGCTCAAGCTGTAGGAAAGAGGTTGGAGGAAGTTCGCCGCCCTCGACGCCGAGAACAATTCCATGGACGTGTACATCAGTCCCGGCTCAAGTGCGCAGCAAGTCCTGCGGGACATACAAATTAGCAAACTATTCGAGCTGGTCCAGAGCACAGGTTGTCCTGGCTGCTGGAGGGCCGCACGTGCGCAATGAGTTGTATTTCGTGCCTCGGCCCCCGCTGTGCGGGCTCTCATCCCCGACGACCCACCCGTTCCGACGACGCTGAGGTGGAATCGTCGGTTTACTACTGATGCTGGGTTCGGTAAGGGCGCTGTGCTCGTTGCATTCATCAACTGGTTCGGAGAATCTGAACAAGTCCAATGGGGTATTTAACGATCGCATAGCTGGGCGGGCTAAGTCAGATCGTACACGTCCCTTCTCAGTTGCTACATGGAACTCGCGTGCTCTTCTCCATCGCGACCCTCAGACGCGACAGCGCAAGATGAGGTGCCTGGGGCAGTTTCTGCAACGGGGTACGGTGGCCCTTCAGGAGATCCACGCCGCGCGCTTGGAGCTGAACCAGGAGTGCTACAAGTTGTGCATTCCTCACCTCCGTTTTCGTCTTCCTGCGAGCGCAGGTGCACGGGCGGGATCGCAAGTATTGGGCCGCGCGCTGTCCCTGGCGCGTTTCAACGGGCTCGATCCTGGCAGGAGGCTTTGGTCCCTGGGAGGGTCCAGCGGCTGAGGGCCTCGAGCATTTGCGAGGGGCCCAGTCGCTCGCGGTCCACGGTCATATATTACGCGCACAACTTCGGCACCTCACGCGCGCAGGTTCAGGGGCTGTCCGCGAGAATCTCTCGTGGCGTCGCGCTCGCGGAGGCAGCGCCTGGTCGCGTATCTATCGTCCTCTTGGAGACTTCAACATCCTCGCGGCGTTGCCCGTGCGCCCCAGAGCGCCTGGGATTGACGGGCGCTGGCCTGCTTCTGATGTCGCCTCGCGGGCAGACGAGGCAGCTTGGCGGCGGATTTTCTTGTTCGTGGGGGTCGTCGACGAGATGCCGACCCGCCGCGCCGCGAATGTGGCGCGGCCGAAAGTTTCCCATATTGATCGTATCTTTCTCTCGATGCCTAAGTTGGGGAGCTCTGCGATGGTCCATGTCGGCGTCGACGCTTGATTTTCCTGCAACTCTCCGCGCGCGCGGTGCCGGTGATCATGCACCTGTTGTTCTGTTTCTTGCACCGCGGTTTGCGGCGCCCGCAGATGACCGGCGGATCGCTCTTTTTATCTTCGGAGATTCAGGCGATGCCCAGCAGGTTCAGAGTCTTTCAACGCTGGTTGATTGGCAGTGCCAAGCGGTTTCCCCAAAGAGACGTACCATTAAGTTTTTTTATGAAGGAAGCGGCTCGCATGGTGCAGGATCGGTCGGCCAAGAACCCACATGTCTCGGAGGCGAAGCTCGTGGTTTCCAGGTCTATGGCTGTGGAGAGACGATGTCCGCCATGCGCAGAACCTCTCGGACTCGTCTGACCGTGCTCGGTCACATCTGGGCGTTCGGGAGAATAAGGTCAACCTGCTCAGCGCTGTGGCCTTCGCTCGTGCTCTCGCGCTAGATCAGCAATCCTTCGCTGAGGAGCGGGGTGCCTTACTGGCTGCCCGAGCTGCTTGTTCTGTTGACAACTCTTTGTCGTCCGTGTTGGTGATCGACGTGCAGCGTCGTGCTCTTCGTCGCAAGTCAGCGCCGTGGGCCCCCTTCGCTCGCCCTTCGAAGTTGCAGGAACTTAGGCTGCCTGGCGATGGCGGTGCTGTGGCAGATTCACATGGAGGCGCGGTGAGGGAGCTCGAGCGTCGCTCGGGCCCGATTTTTCAGACGAAGCCCCGACGCGGCAACTAGGGCTCTCTCTCTCTCTCTCTCTCTCTCTCTCTCTCTCTCTCTCTCTCTCTGTTTTTTTTTTTTTTTTTTTTTTTTTTTTTTTTCTCTCTCTCTCTCTCTCTCTCTCTCTCTCTCGGATTTATATATTAGGAAGTTCGGCGCGCGCTTCGATGTCTCGGACGTGCCCCCACCTGCGGCGCGCCAGTTGCAGATGGCGGCGGCTCGGGCGAAGGCATCCGCCCCTGGCCCAGACGGCGCGCCCCATGAAGCTTGGCGCTGCTCGCCACTGGGGTTTCGGATGCTGGATGAGGTCTTGCTCGCAATATCTGCTGGCGTCCCACCGCCAACGGACCGGAATTACCATCTCATGGACTTTCTTTTCCCCGAAGGGAAAGAGGGCGCCGGCGCAGCGAACGGTGCCTACAGATCCCCTGCAATGGCTCGGGCGTTGGCGCTGCGGCAAGTCAGATCGCAAGTGGGTGGCGAGTGCGGTCAATGCCGAGCTCAGACGGGCTGTGGCAGCTTCTGGTTGGGCGGGATTTCCTGGTTGGACGGAATTTCCTGGTTGGACGGGGATTCCCGCCTCCCAAAGTGGACTCTTGGTTGGGTGGTGTTTCCTCGACAACATCACGTTGTTCGACTCTCGCGCTCGGGCGCGTGGCTTCCATCGAGGTGATTCGCGCCCTCTGATCCTGTTCGATTTCGGCGGCGCGTTTCCATCGCTGGAGGTCGATTGGTTGTCCAGGTCTCTCTCGAAGGCCGGGTTGGGAGATGGTGTCTCGGCTCTGGTTGAGTCGCTCTGCTGGTTGCCGGCGGCGTTCGTTCAGGCTGCCGGTGGCGTGCGCCACTTCCTATGCGTCGCGTGTGGTCTGGCGCAGGGCTGCCCTTCAAGCGGCGCTTTGTGGGCGCTGGCGATGAACCCGTTTAATCTCGCCATGCAGTTTCTGCTTCGAGGCCATGAGCTGTCCGCCGTTGGCGTCTTCGCCGACCGTGCAGGAGCGGTCTTGCATAGTCGCGCGCTGTTGAACGGCTTGTGGCGCATCTTGTGAGCGGCGGAGGTCCTTGCGGGCTTGCGGCTGCAGTTCCACGAGTGCGTCGCCATCCCGTTTGAGGGCCAGTTCTCCTAGGAGATCGCGCAGGAGTTTCGTGAGTGGCTGCTGTGTGCGATCCCGTCCTGGACGTGCATGGCGATCGCTCCGCGCGGCGACTACTTGGGGGCGCTGGCGGGCCCCTCAGAGACCGATGGCATGCCGCGGGGCAACGCGGTTGTGAGGTGGCCCTCGAGAGTGTTCGAGCTGGCGAAGTCGGGGGCGCCCGCCCGCCTCGCCACCGGCCCGTGCAGCCTCCGCGTGCTGCCTGTCTTCTCGTGCATGCAAGAGTTGTGCCCTGCGCCGCTGGCTCTTCGGTCTCGAGAAGCTTGGGCGATCCGCAGTCTTCCTCGCAGGCGATGGCCGGCTCAGACCTCCTCTCATTGGGGGGCTGGCCGCAGCTGCGGCCTGCGCTTTATGCCTGTGCGAGGTGCGGCGCCTCGCGGCTCCCTGGCCGAGATAGGGAAAAGGCGCGCTGCCCCCGTCGTTCTGGCGGCGCCGCCCGCTCGTCGTGCGCCTCGAGGCCGCGGGCCGCCTCTTCGGCCCCGAGAGTCAGCGTGCTGGGCGTGGTGGAGTCTCGTCTCTGCGTCGACATGCGGAGCTGGCCCGTGAAAAAGCGAAAGAGGCTCGCGGCAGTGCCGCTGTCCTGTCGCCCCACATGGAAGTCCAGCGTATCCTCGCCTCCTCGCTCCGAGCCTCCCCCTTCCCCGGCTCGTTCCATCTCGCTCCCGAGAGAGGCTGGAGTCCTGGGCCGCTCCCCGCCCGAGGGGCCCCATGGCCCCCGCGGAGAGCGCTTCTAGAGCCCCTCGCTGCTGTTGCGCGGGTGGGTGGCTCACCTCCGCTCGCCTGCGCGCTCCAGGTGGCGTCCGCGTGGCGTCGGCAGTTGTCTTCTTGGATGCTGTGGCGCCCCGTGGGCGAAGGCCCAGGGCCGCGGGTCCGCGCGCGAGGGGGCCGCGAGGCGTCCACGGGCGCCCGCTGGGCAACAACGGGCTTATGGGAGATTCGGAGAATTCAAATTCATATATTTTTCACGTGTAGTGGGTTATTTCGCGTCTGTCTGTTCAATAGTCAGGTCCGTAACTGCAATATGATTGTGAAATGACGTGCAGGAAACGACGTCGTATAAACCCTAAACATACATTTTGCGAACGGGACCCCGCCGTGCGAAATCCTGGAAGCGCCGGCCAGGTGCCCTCACACCTGGCTCAGGTCGGGGGCGGCAGAGACAGGGGGGGGATGACCTATGACCTGGGGGGGGGATCTCATGGCGGGGGCCACGCTATTTCCCCCGATTTCATGGCGCCTTCTCTTGTTTCAGTGCGTTCTTGGCCCCCCCGCTGCGCCGCGCACGTGCCGCCGGTCATGATTTGTACCCCCCCCCTCTTGGACCCCCCCCCCCCTGATGGCTGCTCCCGATCACACCTGGCCCAGAGCCTCTCAGTGCAAGCTCTGTTATGAGAGCTCTGTCCTCCCCGTGTTCCGATGGCGCGGGGGCTCAGCTTTTGAATGCGCCAGCACATTGTTTTTTCACCCGGAGGAAGTGGCTCGAACTTCTCCTTCCTCTTCCCTGCGTCAGAGCTGCCATGTAGTGCGTTTGGGGTGGCTCAGGCCCCAGAGGCTCCGGGGTAGTAGTGTCGCTGTAGTGCAGTTGGATCTTCTGGACGTCGTCCTGAGTGTCCGGTTCCGATTCCTCAATCGTCCTAGGAATTCTAATCGCACTGGCTCCACCCCCAAGCCAGGGCCAACTGTTCATCTTAGCCCGACTGGGCGGAGACATCCGATTACTTGTCAATAGGGGGCCCCCAAAATTCCGGACCCTTTCCCCAGGGCCAGCTTTCCTGAGATGGTTGTTTCGGCGATCCCGGGGCCTGCCGATGGCCCCCCAGAGGCCGAAAACTATGCATCGATGAAGTACTGCCTTTTCAGTTCGTTGGAGGCTTGGAAAGGGGACCGAGAAAGAGAAATAGAGAGAGAGAGAGAGGAAACAAAAAGAGCCGAGGCCTCCCAAATGGGGTCCGAGTAGGTGGGGTCGGGTGAACGCGCCGCGTCGCCGATGCATCGGCGATGCGGCTTGATGTGGAGCCCGATGTTTTACGCCGCCGCTGCGATGCGTCGGCGATGCAGCGCGACCGGGCGATGCAGCGCGACCCTCCGACCCATCGGCTCGGAGCCCGCTCTGGCGACGCCCCCCTTTTACCTTCGGGGATGGATCGACCTCCCACCCCGACACGTCGATTAGTGAATTGGCCGTTTTCGGTTCGCGAGAGGGCGCCACGGCCGCAACTTTTGCGGGTCCAGGTCCGTTGGTTTCGGTCCTAGACCGTTTTCACTAAAGGGAGGTTTACTAAAGTCAGAAGGGGAAAAACACACACAGACACAATTAATCGTCGATCCCCCAGAAACTATTGGAAGATATGGGAAGTGGGGGGGAAGACAAAGACCCTAAACATATAGAGAAATATGGGGAATCCTGTTATCCGTAACAGCTTCGCCCCCTGCCGCCGGCCCTCTCTCTTTGTTGCCTTCTTGGCATTTTCGTCCAGTTGTTCACTGGAAGCGCTCTGGGAACGGCTGGGGATTGCTTCAGGCAATCTCTGGGAAGGTTATTCCCAACCCTCCTGCGTTGGGTTCTCTTTTTGAGTAGAGCACTGCTCGCGCGAACCTTCCTTCCTTCCTTCCCTCCTTCCCCCCTGCCTTTTACCTCGCTCGTCGCTGCGTGCCAGCCTGCCTCCTACCTGGTCATCCCAATGCCACTTTCGAGGGCTGCTGGGGCCTGCGATCTGTGAAACTGTCGCCACTTTCGAGGGCTGCTGAGGGGCCCAGCACAGTGGGTACCCACCGCAGACTCAAATTAGACCTCGCCATCCCTGGGGGGCTGCGATCTGTGAAACTGTCGCCACTTTCGAGGCCTGCTGGGGGCCCAGCACAGTGGGCCCACCGCAGACTCAAATTAGACCTCGCCATCCCTGGGGGGCTGCGATCTGTGAAACTGTCGCCACTTTCGAGGGCTGCTGAGGGGCCCAGCACAGTGGGTACCCACCGCAGACTCAAATTAGACCTCGCCATCCCTGGGGGGCTGCGATCTGTGAAACTGTCGCCACTTTCGAGGGCTGCTGAGGGGCCCAGCACAGTGGGTACCCACCGCAGACTCAAATTAGACCTCGCCATCCCTGGGGGGCTGCGATCTGTGAAACTGTCGCCACTTTCGAGGGCTGCTGGGGGCCCAGCACAGTGGGTACCCACCGCAGACTCAAATTAGACCTCGCCATCCCTGGGGGGCTGCGATCTGTGAAACTGTCGCCACTTTCGAGGGCTGCTGGGGGGCCCAGCACAGTGGGTACCACGCAGACTCAAATTAGACCTCGCCATCCCTGGGGGGCTGCGATCTGTGAAACTGTCGCCACTTTCGAGGCTGCTGAGGGGCCCAGCCCCCACCGCAGACTGTGGTATCCTCTTCAAATCCTGGGGGGCTGCGATCTGTGAAACTGTCGCCACTTTCGAGGGCTGCTGGGGGCCCAGCACAGTGGGTACCACCGCAGACTCAAATTAGACCTCGCCATCCCTGGGGGGCTGCGATCTGTGAAACTGTCGCCACTTTCGAGGGCTGCTGAGGGGCCCAGCACAGTGGGTACCCACCGCAGACTCAAATTAGACCTCGCCATCCCTGGGGGGCTGCGATCTGTGAAACTGTCGCCACTTTCGAGGGCTGCTGAGGGGGCCCAGCACAGTGGGTACCCACCGCAGACTCAAATTAGACCTCGCCATCCCTGGGGGGCTGCGATCTGTGAAACTGTCGCCACTTTCGAGGGCTGCTGAGGGGCCCAGCACAGTGGGTACCCACCGCAGACTCAAATTAGACCTCGCCATCCCTGGGGGGCTGCGATCTGTGAAACTGTCGCCACTTTCGAGGGCTGCTGAGGGGCACAGCACAGTGGGTACCCACCGCAGACTCAAATTAGACGCCGCTTTCGTCCTTGTTCTTCTCCTGCAGTCACCTTCCCTCTGCTGCTGCCGTGCTGATGGTTCGGCTTCCCGCACGTTTTTCTCCTGCTCTGCCTTCCCGACTCCCCATGTCCTCTTCGAGCCTGTAGCTGTCGCCCCTCGTTCTTGTATGGTTCTCCTCCGCATCATGCCATAGGCGCGTGTCCCAAGTAGCTTACACATCAAGTTGATTGTCCATGCAAGTTTCGGCAAACTCCTCGTTTCCATTGATACAAATGGGTTGAGTACGTCACAGGGTATTTTTTTTGCTCTGGAGAAGGAGTGGCGCCTTTGGACAGCTTCCGCGAGGTTGATTCGTAGCGTGGGGGGTGCGCGCGAATTTGGTGTAATTTGCTGGGGATCGTTGCCTCGGGGACGCGACTGTGGCGTAATTTACAAGGGATCGTGGCCTGGGGGGCGCGACAGCGGCGTAATTTACAAGGGATCATTGCCTTGGGGGCGCGAGTGTGGCGTAATTCACGCGGGATCGTGGCCTCGGGGGCGCAAATGTGGCGTAACTTACGAGGGATCGTGGCCTGGGGGGGGGAATGTGGAACCCACCGCCGAATTTTCCAGAAACGGGGGGGGGCAAAAGAATACCAGCGGAGCACATATCCCAATACAGAAAATTTCAGTTTTTCTGCTTTGGAGAGGGGGAGCTCCTTTTCGGAAGCCTCCGCAAGACGGATTCGTGGCCTCGGGGGCGCGCCCGCTGTATAATTTACAAGGGATCGTGGCGTCAGGGGTGCGAATTTGTTGTAATTTACCGGGTATCGTGGCCTCGGGGGCGCGAACATTATGTAAATTACATGGGATCGTGGCTTCGGAGGCGCGAGTTTGGTGTAAATTACAAAGGATCGTGGCCTCGAGGGCGCGAATGTGGAGTAATTTACAAGGGATCGTGGCTTCGGAGACGCATATGTGGCGTACATTACGCGGGATCGTGGCCTCGGAGACGCGAATGTGGCGTAATTTGCGAGGGATCGTGGCCTCGGGGGCGCGACTACAGCGTAATTTGCAAGGGATTATGGCTTCGGGGGCAGGAAACTCATGTATTTTTATGTGTCCCACGCCCCTTCCAGAAATTCTGAGAACCCTCCCGGGGGACGCTAACCAGGGCCCTTTTCGGCTCCCCCCCCTCGCGCGGACAGTAACAATTCACAGCAGGAAGCAGAAAGCAGTACTGTAACAATGGAAACTGGAAACTGGAACTGGTGCAGGGAGCAGCAACCTTAATCCTCGCAGCCTGATGGCCCCGCAAGGGGGCCGGCGGATTTGTGTCTATTTATTTGTGTGTCTCAGGGCCCCAGAAACTATGGGAAGATATGGGAAGTGGGGGGGGAAGACGAAGACCCTAAAGATATGGGGATATAGGGGAATCCTGCTATCTGTGTCTATTTACTTGTGTGTCCCAGGGCCCCTTCATAAAGGGAGGCTTGCCCACCGCCGATCCCTCTCTGCCCCCAGGGCGTCGACGCGGACGACCCCGCCGCGGCGCGGCCGCGCCGCCTGGCCCTCGGAGGCCCCGCGCCCGCCTCCCCCCCCTCTCGGCCTCGGCCCCGGCTCCGCTGCCGCCGCCGCCGCCGTCGTGGCGGGCTGCAGGCTGCTGCTTCCTCGTCCTGTGTCCCTCCCTAGGGGGCCACATGCGAACCCTGCCCCTCCCCCTCATAAATCGTGGGGGGTAGGGGCAGGGTTCGCATGTGGCCCCCTAGTCTCCCCCCGGCTGCTGTCCTCTCCTCTCCTCAGCCACGGGGCGCCCACTCGAGCAGGTAACAAAAAGAGAGCGTTCGTGTGGGGTTCCAGGGCGTGCAGGATTCAGGAGGGAAAGAAACACACAGACACAATTAATCGGCGATTCCCCAGAAAATGGGAAAATATGGGAAGTGGGGGGGAAGGCAAAAACCCATAAGATATGGGAAAATATGGGGAGTCTTTTTATTTGTGTGTATTTATTTGTGTGTCCCAGGGCCCCTTCAAGGATGCGGTCCGCCCGCAGAGTAAGGGTGGGCCACCTTCCCAAGGGTACCCTTGCATCCTTCCCTCCTCGGCCCATCCCTGGCCACTTGCGTTGGCCGCGCCCCGATCGAAAAGCTTCGAGAGGGGCGTCCAAGGGCCTTGCATCCTCATCGTGCGTCCTTCTGATACGGGTCGAATGTACTCCGAGGGGAGTCCAGACCCCATTTCGCTGCTCTCCAGAGTGTTGTGCAGCACACCTGGGACGTAGTGGCGGAGCCGCAGGTCGATCGCTCGGGGCGCCGCTCGTCTGGGTCTCTCTACGGGCGCCTTGCGTCTGAGCACGCGGGCGCCTCCCCAGACGGGGGGGTGGTGGTGCAGCAGGTGTGTTCGGCTGCGTGGACCCACCGGGCTCCGTTCCTGGCTTGTGAGCTTGCGCGAAAGTCCTCTGACGGTTTAAATTTCCCCGCCCGACAGATCTACACCTCGTGCACTCTGCCCGCCGCGGCCGCCAGGCCCCGAGAGTCCCGGTGCTCCCTGGGTATCCGGCCTCGCGTCATCGACGAGGGACGACTGCATGCCGCCGCCGCCGCCGGGCCCCGAGGGGCCCCGGTGCTCCCTGGGGGCCTCGCCTCGTGTTTTCGGGCGGGGATCGCTCGAAGCAAGACGCCGCTCGTCGGTTGCTTTCGCTTCTTGCCCTCCTCTCCCTCTCTCTCTCCCTCTCTCTCTCTCTACTCGGAGGTGCTCGCAGGCGTCCCAGGGGGGGCGCAGGCAGTCGCCGATGGGGCGGCGACGGCCCCCCCTGCGCCCGACGTCGCGAGGGCGATGGAAGGGCAGCGGTCGGAGGGTGACGATCTGGGCGAAGACAGTCAACCCGCAAGGTGAGGATGGGCCACCTTCCCAAGGGTATCTTCGCATCCTTCCCTCCTCCGCCCATCCCTGGCCGCTCTCGCTGGCCGCGCCCCGCTCGCAGAGCGTCGGCTTGTCCCTCCAAGGCCCTTGGCATCCTTCTCGTGCGTCCCTGTGATACGGGCTGACTGTAGCCCAGGGGCGGGCATTACGCGTACAGTCGGGGCCCTGAAGAAGGAACCCTTTTCGTTGGGGAGGGTCTCCGTGTTCCTTGATAGTTTCGCAGCTTGCCTTGGATTTTTCTTATGTTTCCGATCGGAGATCGAAGGTTAACTTATGGAACAAAAAGGGGCCTCGTTCCTTATTTAGGGTTTTCCTTAGGTCAACTCCCCGACTGCATTCGCCTGGGAGCCTCGCCGAAGGCATGGGCAATCGGCGCCCTGGGACACATGCATGTTTTTGTTGGGTGCCTCTGGGGGGCCTCTTCGGAGGAGGAGGAGGGGGAGGAGGAGGGGGAGGAGGAGGAGGAGGAGGAGGGGGAGTAGGAGGAGGAGGAGGAGGAGGAGGAGGAGGAGGCGGAGGAGGAGGAGGAGGAGGAGGAGGAGGAGGAGGAGGAGGGGGAGGAGGGGGAGGAGGAGGAGGAGGAGGAGGAGGAGGAGGAGGAGGAGGAGGAGGAGGAGGATGCAATCTTCGCCCCCCGTCGTCGCCGCGCTCCAGGCCGGGGCCCGCGGTGGCCTCCAGCGGAGGGGCCTGGTGTGAGGCCACCCCCCCGCGGCCGGGCGCCGTCGGGCCTCGGCCCCCTTCTGCCGCGGGGGGCGGCGCGTGCGCGGCGGCGTTGGCCTTCGGAGGCCCCGCCTGGGCCTCGGCATCGCTCGGGCGTGTGCTCACCACCCACCAAACCACCCCAACCCAACCCGAAGGCCCAAATTTTTCCTCGATTTCCAGTGGGGGGGGTGTCGGGGAACGTTGAAAAAACACATGGTATCCGTACCCCCCCCAACCCGAAATTCGGGTCAAATTCGGGTCTTCGGGTTGGGTTGGGGTGGTCTGGTAGGTAGTCAGTGTGCGTTGTTTCCTCGGCGAGGACCGTTGAGGAGCATCCTGGAGCATTTCGCGCAAAAACGCCGCGCACGAAGCCGAACAAAAGCACAGAAAATGGACGTCCGAGCGATGGCCTCGGCCCCGTGCCGCGGGGGCGGCGTGAGTGGCGGAGTTGGCTCGGAGGCCCCGCGGATGCCTCCGTGGTTACCAGCCTCGAACTGATCCCTCCTATCCCTAAGATCGACACGCCAAAAGGCGACGGCGCAACCTTAGGGATTCGCCCGCAAAAAACGAGGGATTCGCCCTGAGATCGGCATCGTGATGAGGAGATGCCCAGCATAGGGATAGAGATATGTTCCAGGCTGGTAACGTGGGCCTGCGGAGCCCACCACGACGCGCGGCAGGCTGCGCCCTGCTGGCGGTCGTGGCGGTCTGCGGCGCCGTGGCGCCGTCGGGGCTCGCGACCGTGGCCTCCGCTGCGGGGGCTCTCGGCAGCAGGACCGCCGCCGGCGGCGCCGACGCCGACGACGCCGAGGTCGTCGACGACGATGCTCACGCCGACGTTGCCAACGGTGCCGACGATGGTGACGACGTCGTCGACGCCGGGTACGACGCCGCCGACGATGGCGACGGCGAGCGCCAAGCGATGTTGGCGCTGACGACGGCGTTGTGATTGACGATGACGGCTGCGGCGGTGAGGAGTGCGCAGCTTGTTTCCTCCTGCTCCAGAGTGGCTGCGACGCAGTCCAGGAGGCAGTTTTCCGTCCCGGGTCAGGGTCGACTGAGCGAAGCGAGGGGAGCTTCGACGACGTCGTCCTCCCCTCCTCCTCCTCCTCCTCCGTCCCCCCTCGACGACGACGGGATGAATTGCGCCGACGTTCGCGCGTCAGCTTGCCGCGTGGGGCCGCGCGCAGTCGCCCCTCGCCTCGAGTGCGGTGTGAGCGCTGGCGGCCCGCGTAAGCCACCGAGCAGCGTCGCTGCGCCATCTCGCGCGAGACCCGTTTTTGGCGTCGCTCCGCGGCTCTGGGGCCCGAGGAGGCCCCGAGGAGGCCCCGAGGAGGCCCGAGGAGGCCCCGAGGAGGCCCCGAGGAGGCCCCGAGGAGGCCCCGAGGAGGCCCCGAGGAGGCCCGAGGAGGGCCCGAGGAGGCCCCGAGGAGGCCCGATCCAGAGGTCACCGGGAGGGAGCCCGACGTCGAAGGTTTGGGCCCCTGCACCCCGCCGCTTGCAGCGGGGTAGGTGTTAGTCCTCCCAGAGGGGGAGCATTCCTTGATGGGCCTGTTTTCCACGGCCACCACCACAAGTTGGAGGGGGTAAGGAGGAGGAGGAGGAGGAGGAGGAGGAGGAGGAGGAGGAGGAGGAGGACGAGGAGGAGGAGGAGGAGGAGGAGGAGCAGGAGGAGGAGGTGGAAGACCCCCTCCCCCTCCAACTCATGGCGGTGGTGGTGGAGCACAGGCCCATCGTTCCCTGGATCCTGGGGCTCCACATGCGCTCGACGAGGCTCCCAGGCGAACGCGTGTCGTGCCCACACCCTCTGCTCTCGCGTCGGGCATGATCCACTTGCTCTTGGCATCGCTCGGACGTGTGCATTTTTCCTTCGGCGAGGACCATCGAGGAGCATCCTCGATGACTTGGCGAAACAACCACGCACGAAACCGAACAAAAGCACAGGGAAGGGACGTCCGAGCGATGGCCAGTGCTCGCGCGCCATGCCAGCTGCTGCCCCCCGAAAGCAGTGCCCGCCGCCCGGGCCGAGGGCGAGGGGGAGGGGGAGGAGGAGGAGGAGAAGGGCGAGGGGGGGGGAGGGGGAGGAGGAGGAGGAGGAGGAGGAGGAGGAGGAGGAGGAGAGGAGGAGGAGGAGGAGGAGGAGAGGAGGAGGAGGAGGAGGACGAGGACGAGAAAGATGAGGAGGAGGAGGAGGAGGAGGAGGAGGAGGAGGGAGGAGGAGGAGGAGAGGAGGAGGAGGAGGAGGAGGAGGAGGAGAGGAGGAGGAGGAGTGAGGAGGAGGAGGAGGAGGAGGAGGAGGAGGAGGAGGAGGAGGAGGAGGAGGAGGAGGAGAGGAGGAGGGAGGAGGAGGAGGAGGAGGGGAGGAGGAGAGGAGGGAGGAGGAGGGGGCTCCCCTAAGCAGTGCCTTCCGCCCGGGCCGAGGGCACCCTTTTCCCGTCGGCGGCGCGCCTCGGGGGGCAGCAGCGACCTGAGGGCAGGCAGGCCGCCTCGGGAGGCGGCGGGCCTCTCGGGCGCCCGGAGGCCTTCTGAGGAGCGCTCCGCGCTCCCCCTCCTCCTCCTCCCTCCTCCTCCTCTCCTCCTCCTCCTCCTCCTCCTCCTCCTCCTCCTCCTCCCCTCCCCATCCCCCTCCCCCTCCTCCTCCTCCCCCTCCCCTCCTCCCCCTCCTCCTCCTCCCTCCTCCTCCTCCTCCTCCTCCTCCTCCTCCTCCTCCTTCCTCCTCTCCTCCTCCTCCTCCTCCTCCCCCTCCCCCTCCTCCTCCTCCTCCTCCTCCTCCTCCTCCTCCTCCTCCTCCTCCTCCCTCTCCTCCTCCTCCTCCTCCTCCTCCTCCTCCTCCTCCCTCCTCCTCCTCCTCCTCCTCCTCCTCCTCCTCCTCCTCCTCCTCCTCCTCCTCCTCCTCCCTCCTCCTCCCCTCTCCTCCTCCTTCCTCCTCCTCCCTCCTCCTCCCTCCTCCCTCTCCTCCCTCTCCTCCTCCTCCCTCCTCCTCCCCCTCCTCCTTCTCCTCCTCCCTCTCCCCCTCGTCCTTCTCCTCCTCCTGAGTTGCGTTCATTTGCGGTGTTGAAGTCCCAGGACTTGCATTCTGGCATTGTCCAGGATCGTCCAGGCGCAACAGTCAGGTTGACTCGCGGCGCTGATGTCCTGAGAATGGTGTTCTGGTACGTTTCCAGATCTCCACACGGTTGTCCTCCAATGGGGCATTTCCTTCCGTGGCTTCGGAGAAGGCCCAGGTTACTTTCCAGAAGGCTAAAGGCTGGCCCTTCGAGCCTCAAGAGAAGGCCCGCCCCCCCTGCCTTCCCTCCTGGGGTCTCAGGGTTGGGCTTCAGGGTTGGGGTCTCAGGGTCTCAGGGTTGGGTTTCCTGTGGACGGTTTCTTGTTGTCGAGCTCCTAGTGTTGAAGTTTTCTCAGAAGGCCTTCCCTCCTGGGCGCTGCCGCTGCCGCGAAGCACTGCTGGGCTATGTGCGCCAGGCTCCTTGGTCGGGGTGCTCTTCTCTCCACTGGTGACTCCCTATACAGTCGAAGTTGACTACAGTCAGCCCGCATAGTGAGGATGGGCAACCTTCCCAAGGGTACCCTTGCATCCTTGCCCCTTCGGCCCATCCTTAGCGACTTTCGCTGGCCACCCTCGTTCGAACAACGTTAACATGGGCCTCCAAGGCCCTTGCATCCTTACCGCGCGTCCTTGTGATACGGGTTGATTGTAGTAGGTCGACCCTGCCACATCCAGGATACCCCTGCGTCCTGTGTTTCGCGACTCATGCCCTCTCTCCTACGGCAGCGTGGTCCTCGGAAGGGTCTCGTGTCCTGACGCGAGTCCTCCCCAACCAACCTCGACGGCACCTCTCCTGGGGTGCGTCATGGCCAGCACCCCGCGGGGCATCCGGCAGTGGCCACGAGAAGCCTCGCGCAGGCCCAGAGTGGCAGAGCAACGTCCAGTCACCCGTCGGTCCTCGACGTTCCTCCCTTGACGAGCGAAGTACGCGCCCCCAGACTTATGGAGGACGGAAGGGGCTATGGGTGCGTGTTGCCGGAGGGGGGTGCCCGCTCGAACAAGAGACTCCCCCGAGGTCCGACAACCCGCACCCATACTCATAGCCAGTCCGCCTCCCTCCGACCCCGCTATCTATATTGTGTGTTGTTCTTTCGTTATCCCTTGGTGCCCTCGAGGGGTCGTCGTCGTCTTCGTCGTCGTTCTCGTCGCCGTCATCATCGCCGTCGTCGTCGTCGTCGCCGCTGCCGCCGTCGCCGTCGTCATCGTCGTCGTCGCAGCCGCCGCCGCCGCCGCCGCCGTCGTCGTGGTTGTCGTCGTCGTCGTCGTCGTCGTCATCGTCGTCGTCGTCGCCGTTGTCGCCGTCGTCGTCATCGTTGTCGTCGTCGTTTGCGTCGCCGTCGTCGTCGTCGTCGTCGCCGTCGGCGCCGCCGTCGTCGTCGTCGTCGCCGTCGTCGCCGTCGCCGCCGCCGTCGTCGTGGCCTGCCCCGGCCCGCCACAGTACGTCCCACCTCTTCTCCCCCGGCGCCGTGACCGCAGCCGCTCACGCGGCCGGCGCGGGCCTCGGCGCGCGCCGCGGCGGCGGGCCGCTTGGGGGGTGGGGCGCCTCGGCGCCCGCGCGCGCGCGCCCGTGGTGCTCCTGCCGCTCCTGCGCGCAGTTTTGCTCGGCGAGGGCCATCGAGGAGCATCGGGACCATCGAGGACCATCGCTCGGACGTGTGCATTTCTTCTCGGCGAGGACCATCGAGGGTTATCGGGGAGCAGCGGGACCATCGAGGAGCGTGTTTTTCTTGGCGCGGACCATCGAGCGCCATCTCTGGCAAACGAAGCACGCACGACATCGAAGAATGCACGGCGAATGGAAGTCGGAGCGGTGGCGAGTGCGGGGAGCGCTCCGGTCGGCAGTTCCGACCGAAGCCCCAGGCTTCAGGTGGCGAGCGAGCGAGCGAGGCGGAGGGACGGGAGGCGAAGGGTGGGGGGGGCCTTCGAGGGGGGGGGACGCGAAGGGTGGGGGGGGCCCTCGAGGGGGGAGGAGGAGCGGAGGGCGAGGGCCAGCGTGCCGACGTGCCCGACGTCCCCGGGTCAGTTGCCGGGGTGCTCCTCGGAGGGTGGCGAGGCGACCCTCGGGCCGCGACCCCGCGTGTTCGCGGCGTTTTTTCGCGAAATTTGCCGCCGGAACGTGCTCGTGCGACCGCGTATCCACGGGATCGCCAGACCGCGAGGGCGCGGATACGGATACGTTCGTAGCTCGTGAGGTGACCCGAAGCATGGTAGCCGCATAATCAGCCCAAGGCACCCGCAGCGCCGCGAAGGTCAGCCGTGCTTCGCGCTTCGGGGTCTTGGCTGGCTGGGTGTTCTTCTCTGCGGGGGTGTCGCGGGGGTCGAAGGAGGCGCGCCTCGCGCTTCGCGCAAGCGCGAGGCGCGGAATTGGATGACATGGGGAACAATCTTGGCGCTTTCTCTCGTGTCTGCTTATACGGTAAAGTTTTCTTGAATTCCCACTTTGAAGAATACTTGTTGTTGATCTTCCTTGCCCAGTGCTGGTTGATTGTTCGATTGAAGTTCCTCCCCCGTCTCGCCGCTGGGTCAAGCTGGGTGTTTGGCCCCCAGTTTACAGCAATGGTGTCTTTCACCTGATATGTCCTCGTAATTTATTCAGAACCGGCGCTTTCGCGCCGCATTTCCGTTCACTTTTCTCCGCAATCGCGCTCTCGCTCAGGACTTTCTGCAGTTGACTCAGGCGCCGCGCCCTCGACGCCCAGGAATTGCGCCCTCGCTCTGGAGTTTCCTTACACGCCGGTCGTTGAAAGTAGGTATTTTTCGATTCCCAGATCCCAATCTACTTCAAGCGCCTTCCTACTTCAAGAATCGACGCGCTTTTGCTGTGTTTTGTTATTCTCTGGGAGGGCCTGGACCCAATCCACTTTATCCGCCTTCCTACTTCATGTTTCTACCTACTTCTTCCGACCGACGTGTACATTACTCGGGACTCGTGCTTTCGCCTGAGGCCTCTTCGCAGTTTGCAGAGCTCGCTGCGACGCCCCGCAACCGCCCGACCCGCCCGACAGGGCCCGCCCACCCGGCCCGCCCACTGGGGTCCCCCCCGTTCGCCTGCCTGACGCCCGCCCGCCCGCTTGTGTCCCGCCCAGCCCGCTCGCTGGGGCTCGCCCGACCCGCCCGTCGGGGCCCGCCCGTCCGACCCGCCCGCAAGGTCTCGCCCGCCTGACCTGGCCGTCAGGGCCCGCCCGCCCGCCCGCTTTTAGTGCCCCACCCGCCCGGCCCGACCGTTGGGGTCCGCCAGCCCGACCCAGTCAGGGCCGGCCCGCCCGACCCGCCCGTCAGGGCCCGCTTGCTAAACTGCTTGCTCCTCTCTCCTCCCCCGCCTGCCAGATCTTCTTTGCCCTCAATCTTCCCCCCTCCCTCTTGCCCCCCTCCTTTCTCGATTCCTCCTCCTTCCCTCGCTTTCTCCCTGTCCTGTTCCCTCCTCCTCCTCCTATTCCTTCTCCTCCTCCTCTTCCTCTCCTTTTAGACTTTTCAGGCTGCGCCAACTACACGTGGCAGACACGGAAGATATTCCCCTGGAGGTTCACGAGCGAAGGCGATGAGGGCGTGAATCGAGAGTTTGGTGTATACATTCTTTTGAACGACACGCGAGCAACGAAACGCGAACAGTCTTAACGCGATTCTCCTGGTTGTTGTTCACTCAGCCGCTGCCGCCGCCACTGAGTCGCGGTGTAGTCGCATGCGCATGGATCGCCTGCTTCGACCACCTCCGTCTTACAGTCAGCCCGCATAGTGATGAGGAGCATTTTTCCAAGGTTTCCGGGTTCCCATCCCTGTCCCTGTCCCGTTCTCTGTCCCCAGGAGGAGGAGGAGGAGGAGGAGGAGGAGGAGGAGGAGGAGGAGGAGGAGGAGGAGGAGGAGGAGGAGGAGGAGGAGGAGGAGGAGGAGGAGGAGGAGGAGGAGGAGGAGGAGGAGGAGGAGGAGGGAGGAGGAGGAGGAGGAGGAGGAGGAGGAGGGAGGAGGAGGAGGAGGAGGAGGAGGAGGTTCTCCTCCTTGCCGCTCCCTGTCCCGTTCTCCCTCTCCCCTTCCCTTTTCCTTCCTCTGCCTCTCGGTTCCACTCGCGGATCTGGCTCTTCGGAGGCAGGCCGATCCATGCTCTTGTGCTCCTTCTTGCCGCGCTCCTTCCAAATCTGCGACATTCCGCATCGAACAATTTGCAGCTGCTCGCGCGCTACGCTGTTCTTCGCCCCGCTTTTCCAGCGGGGCGCGGCGCACGCAGGCGACTACCAGACGCCGGGCAGGGCCAGCTTCGCCTTGCGGTCTGCCATCCGGGAGGCGGGCCCGGGCGACTGGCGCACCCAGGCGCACCGTACACAGGGTGCGGCCCGCCTGGCAGTTACCTACGGAGCTTAGGGGTGGAACGCATACCAGTACTGATACCCTGCTCTCGATTTCGCCTTCTCGGGCTTCCTGGTTGGGCCCTTGTCGCCAGGGCTGGATTCTCCTCGGAGACCTGGTCAGGACGCGTGTCATGTTGTCTCCCTCAGGAGCTGGGATCTCCACGACGCTCGGCGTGAACAGCTCGAGATCAGACGTTCTGCTGGAACGGGCGGGGGGAGGATCAAGCATCATTGGTTGTTTGATTCGTATGTTTTTGGTGATTCGGTGCATTCGCTCCTCCTCGCTGCGGATGACGAAACGTAATGGTCAAGCGGATGGTTTGAGGCAGTGGGCAAGGACAGCGGGCCCCAGGCCTGGCTTGGGCAGGGCCGGCGTGGGTGCGTAGTTGGCATCCCGCAAACGAGCCAGAACGTGTGTGGCCGTATAATCTAGATGTTCAGACATCTGTACACATACACACATCGACATGCATGTACACACTGCATTCGCAGATGCATGCTTTCACATGTGCATAACACATGTTATCTACACTCATATATATATATATACACATGTTTTACAAGTAGTTGTGCGTGTATCTACATAGCCATACACACATTTACACATCCATATGCAACACACTTACACACATGTTTGCATATGTGTGTGTAGACATCTGCACGTATAGCTAAATTACGGTTCGTGTGCGTGCATTCATGTTCACACACATACACACATATATATATATATATATTACACATATGCATAGACACATGCACATACACACAGGGGTACATACATGTACTTACAGAGCACACACGCGTGTGTGTAAATATACACATATCTATACACAGAGATCTACGCACCCAGGGTTCCCAGCTCGATCACATCTCGGGCAACTCCCTGCACCGCTTCCCTGGGTCTCCCAGGTGGCCCCTGGACGGCCTCGAGACGGCCCGGGACGGCTCCGAGGCACCCGACAAGAGCTCTCAGACGGCCCGAGATACGCTCTCGACGGCCACGAGACCCCTGCGAGCGCCCAAGCCAGTGCCCGGAGGCCTCCAGGAGGCCCCCAACATCGCCCAAGAGACCTCCAAGGGAGCCCTCGAGAGGCCAACATCATTGCAACAACAAAGGGGCACATATGTTTTTGTTAGTTAGGTTCTCGCCTTTTCATCTTCCGAGGCTTACGCATGATCCCCACGAAAGCTCCAAGATGCCTCCAATAGACGCCCCGAGCTGCCCCAGGATACCCTACGGGGCTGCCAAGACGCTTCAAGAGGCGCCCACGAGGCCCCAAATAGGCTCAGGAGATGCTCTGAGAAGCTCCCAGGAGCCACCCAAGGTCCCCCTATAATCTCAAAGAGCGCCCAAGCGAGCGCCAATAAGCCCCCATGAGGCTCCAAAGAGCCCCCCCAGAGAGCCCACGAGACCTCCAGGAGGCTCCCAAGAGGCCCCACGAGACTTTATGAGATGCCCATGACAGGCTCCAGGAAGATGTTGATACCACCCCACAGTCGCCCCTGGCAAACTGCCACGAGACATCCTCCCATCATCCCTCTCTCCTCCCTGATCCCTTTCTCCTCCTCCCTTCTCCCCATTGTGTCACGTTCCCTCCTCCTTCTCATCTCTGCTTCACTCCTTCCTTCTTCCCTTCGCCCCCGTGATTTCTCGGAGAAAGTGATTATTGCTTCCCGTTCTCCAGAAGCAGCTTCCGACACGATCGATGCGTTTATGAAACAATTATTCCAACGGCTTCCACCCCAAAGGCCCCCGTGCGTTGCGTCTCAAGCCCCTTCGCGACGGTGTGACTAACGCGCAGTTGGCGGCGATGGGTAGATTTCGCAGCGAGCACGGCCCGACAGTCAAGGATGACCCGTCCCCCTGGAAGTGGCCCATCGATTCGTCCGTCGGCAACGGGTTCATTTTCGCGAAGGGTTCTTAGACAGGTGATGCAGTGAAGCTCTTCCACGTTGCCAAGCCTAGCTCGGTTCAGGAAGTGCCCCGCGATATCTCGTTCGCTTGCCACGTCGAGGTTCTCGGGCTCGGAGGCACGCGGCGCGGGATCATGGGCAACATTTCGGGCCAATTGAGCCTTTTGACAACCAGGCTAATTCACATTTTGTGCCTACAGTGGACGGGTCGCTCACTCAAGTCATCGTGTCTTTACTGTGTGCAGGCTGGTTGTGAGAAGGACAATTCATTCTTGGGGGGCGCGTGGCGTCGTCGTTCTTCCCAGTCCTCCCGAAGAAACCGCTATTTGTCGTCATTTGGAACGCTCGAGGTCTCTGTGGTATTGTCGGAGGTATGCGAAGTCGTACATGTAATCGCCCGTTGAAAAACTGTTCAGTGCTTGGACCAGACGCAACCGTATTGTCAATGTGCAGGAGTCGTCTGGGCATTTCTGGGACTTGACTGCTATCCGCCAGGAAATTCCGAATCACCAGATGTTCTTGCACGCGCACCCTTTATAATCTCCCCGGGCATGGGGTCCTGGTATACATGCAAGGGAAGTTGGTCGGGTCTTTGTTCTATTATGCAGTGTTTAATTCTTGGTGAGGCGTCATGCGTGATGGGATGGGGCGGCTGTGGCTTCTTCGGAATTGCTGTTGTCGGCGCAGTGCTTGGATGCTATCGGCACTGTCAGTCTGAGACCCGGTCCTTTCTGCATTTCCGCCTCCGGGGCTGTGCACCTGCTCTTGGGGGCGTCCAAGCTTGTCTTCTCTGATGAGGGGTGGCCTAATTTTGAAACAGGGCAGTCAATATAAGCGACGCCGCCTTCAATCAAGGGTAATTATGGGTTGTTGTCTTTGGGGGCTGGTCGGAGTTTTATCAGCCTCTGGAAATTTGCCGCGCTTGTTTGGGTCCACAGAGGAGAAACATCGTCATTATCGCCATCACCGCCACTCTTGTATCACCACCATCATCAGCACCATCGAAATTATCAGCCGTATCATCATCATCATCATCATCATCATCATCATCATCATCATCATCATCATCATCATCATCATCATCATCATCATCACCAACAACATCAATCTCATCATCCTTCTCGTCGTCATCATGACCTGTGTCTTTTCGGCGCACCATTCACACGGTTCGCGGTCTTAATGGGAAATCCACCGAGGTTTCCACTGGTAGGCTTCGCATGGCGCTTCGGGTCCACTTCGGGTCACCCGTCACGCGTTTCGTGGTTGTACACGGAGCTCCACCGACGATTCCCGTGGCAGGGTTCGCGCGGCGTTTCATGTGTTTTTCGGCTTACTGTTCATACGTTTGTGGTTGGGTTCACATACATGTTCGTGTCCACTTCGATGCACTCCTCTCAGTTTCCGTGGCCCCATAAGGGGCCGCCACCAAAGGCTCCAGGGGCAGGGTTCGCACGGCGCTTTGGTTCCATTTACGCACGCCCCGCGCACGCTTCGTTGCACCAGAAAGAATTCCACCAGGAACTCCCATGGCAGGGTTCGCATTGCGCCTCCTCGGATCTACTTCGGTACACCCCGCACGCGTTTCGTTGTCCAATGAGGAGCCCCACCGGAGGATCCACTGGCACGGTCCGCATGGCGCCTCGGGTGCATTCTTCCCGCCCCTGACATTCTCGACGCCTCATGTCCCCCTTGCCCGTCTTTTCGGGCCAGCCGTGATGCATATCGCAGCGCACCTTGGTCAATGCTTGCGCAGGACGGGTGCGAGGCTGGGTGTGGCCGACACGGCAAGCGAGTTAAGATGATCATGGTGGTGATTGGTGATTGGTGATTATTATGATGATGACGATGATGATGCTGCTGCTGATGATGATGATGACCTTAATGACAGTGATGGTGGTGTTAATGGTGATGGTGATTAGGATGATGGTGGTGGTGATGATGATGATGGTGGTGGTGTTGGTGAATAAGACGATGATTATGTGATCGTGCAAGGGATGGCCATGATGATGGCGATGATCATGGTGATTGTGGTGATGATGGTGATGATCGTCATCGTCGTTGTCATCATGGCCACCATCATCCGCAGTATCATGTCTGATGGTTGTAATGGTGGTGAGGATGGGGATGATGCTGCTGTTGTTGATGCTGATGGTGGTACTTACGCGTATCATGGTTTTGATGTGTGTGGTTATGCTGATGATGGTGATGCGGATGATGCTGATGCTGATGATGCAGATGATGGTGTCGATTATGATGCTCATGATGTTGCTGATACGACTGCTGCTGCTGATGATTATGATGATGCTGCTGATGATGATGATGATGATGATGATGATGAGGATGATGATGATGATGATGATGATGATGATGATGATGATGCTGATGATGATGATGATGCTGAGGATGATGCTTTGCATGTTGTTGGTGATTGTTACGATGACGATGTTGATGATGTTGATGGCGATGATGATGGTGGTGATGACAATTCAGGGGAAACACAATGGGTCATTTGTCATGATTCTGACGATGAAGACGAGGAGGCGGAGGCGGAGGAGGAGGAGGAGGAGGAGGAGGAGGAGGAGGAGGAGGAGGAAGAGGAAAAGGGATAGTAGGGGAAGTCTTTGTCCTCGGACTGTGTCTGGCGCAGGACACAGGCGAGGACGACGTCGGCCAAGTTCCTGTGGCCGTTTCCGGGCCGCTGGTGACCGACGAGGTCCACAGATCCCTGCCCGCTGGCGTCGTCGCCGCCGTTGCTGCTGCGGACGCCACCGAAGGCTTTCGAAGACCTTCGGAGGGCCTCCAGAGGCCTCTGGACCTAGGGCATTCTTGCTTGGTGGCGTCGCCGCCTCCGCCGTCGTCGTCGTTGCCGCTCGCCAGCCACCATCGGTGGAGCTGTATTCTTTACCCCCAGGGATGCTCATCGGCTTCGACGCCCCGCCGGAGAGATTGCAGATCCGATGCCGCCGATGTGTTCCCCCCGGGGAGTAAGGACCACGTCTCCCTGGTGGGAGCGGCCGCTGGTCGTCGTCGTCGTCGTCGTCGACGTCGTCGTCGTCGTTGTCGCCGTCGCCGTTGCAGCCGCCGCCGCAGCTGCGGCAGTCGCCGTTGCCGCCGTCGTCTTCGTCGTCGCCTTCGTCGCTGCCGCCGTCGCCGTCGTCGGCCAGCGAGGTCGAGGGGTACCTTCCCGCCAGTGGCGAGGGGGCGCTGGAGGATTCACCCGCCAGCAAGGACAGCTTGCCTGGGGATCTCGAGAGTGTCAGAGGTTCGATCGGTTTTTGGCTGCTTCGCAGCCCGCTGCATCTGGTCGGGTCGAGAGTGTCAGCTGTGGTGACGGTGCGGTCTTCTTTGCTTCTTTCGGTCTGTCTGTCGGTGTCGCCTAGATTGGTGTCGCTACCGTCAAGCAGTGGCTAAGCGTCCTGGCTCGCCTATTGGCCCACCAAACAATTGTCTTAGAACCTTTTGTGGTTTGCGCGAAATGTTCGGATCACATTTCTGGCTGACACCGTTTGTTTTTAACACTTCGGCCTTAAGAACTAGTAACATCATTTGAAGTACTAATCTCATTGTTTTTGTTATTCGAACGTCCTGTTGTTCTAAGCAAATTTCGTGGTAGGCCTACAGGACTGCCGGGACGGTCGGTCCCTGCTCAATGCTGGCTCGGTCGGTTTTGATTGTGCACTTCCGCCGTGGACGTCGGCTTGGCATCAGAGATGGGAGCACGGCACGAGCTCTTGCCCTTTCGGAGGTCCGAGCAGGTACTTTTTCGGGCTGTGCACCGGACCCCTCCTTCTGCGGCGCCTGCGGCGTGATTGACGAACCAACAACACACACCCATATCCATGGGGGGGTCGGAGAGGGCTGTGGGTCCGTGTTGTCGGAATGGGGGTCCCCGCTCGAACGGGAGCGTTCCCCAGGGTCCGACAACCCGCACCCATACCCACAGCCAGTCCTCCTCCCAACGACCCCCCTAGGGGTATGGGTTGTTCGTTCGTCAGTGATGGCGATCTTTTTGTTCCCCCGCACTGCGGACGGCGGCCCCTCCCTGGGCACGCGCGCGCGCGCGTGCCGACGAGAAAGGTCGCAGGCGATGTTCTCCCCCACCCTTTTTTCGGGGGTGGACAGAACCCCCAACAGTGACACGTCGATTAGTGAATTGTCCGTTTTCGGTTGTCGAGATGGCGCCGTGGCCGTTATTTTCCAGGCTTGCGCCCGCCAGGTTTGGGCCTCAGGCCGTTTTCACTAAACCACGTTTTACTCAAGGGGGGTCTGTCCATCCCCGACTTTGTGATTTCTCAACGAGAATGAAGCCGCTCAGGAGGGGAGGGGGACCCTGGGGGCACACGCCAATGGGGGCTATTCGGGCGCACCCCTATCGAGGATGGACGGCCCCACCAGCGTACATCCTAGGGTTGGGCCCAGCATGTCTGGTCCACGCGAAGACCCTACGAGGCCTTGGACAGGGCTCGACACATCCCTTGTGAAAGGAGGCAGCGTGTCTCACACCCTGGACCCCTGGCGTTCAGTCGGACGTGTCCCCCTACTGGGGGATTTTCGACGAAAAATAAAAGATACTCAAACAATACTCCCAAATCGCCAAAAAAATAGTAAAAAAATAGTCCCCAGGCTATTGCTGGACTATTTTTGAATATTCCCCCTGTAGAGAGACGGGCCCGACTTACCCCTGGCGTCGCGAAACGACCGCGGCGGCCCGTCTGTCCCGCGATCGGGCGGACGGCAACGGGGGGGAGACCTGCGGGCGTGAGGAGAGGCTGCGCCTGCCCGTCGCCCAGACGGGCGCGGGGATGGCAGTCCGGAGGCCCTGTCGGGGCCACCGTGCTGCGGCCTTCGATCGCAGCTCGTGTGTTCACCCCTGTGCCCGTTGCCGTCCTCCACCCGATGCTGGGCTCGGTGAAGAGGGGGGGGACGAGGAGGGGCAGGAGGAGGAGGAGGAAGACGAAGCTGATCATGATGCTGATGCTGATGATGATGGTGGTGATGATGATGATGATGATGGTGGTGGTGATGATGGTGATGGTGGTGGTGAGGATGATGATGATGATGGTGATGGTGATGCTGATGATGCTGATGATGATGATGAGGAGGAGGAGGATGAGGAGGAGGAGGAGGGCGACGACTACGACGACCCCGCAAGGTCATGGCCCAGTGCCCTGCGGGAGTACAAGGTCACGTGCGTTTCCGTCTCTCGCTTGCTCTTCTGCTCTGCCTCTTTGTAACCGCGAGGATGCTGCGCAACTCGCTGCCGAGCAAATCAGGAGAGGGGCTGAGGAACAGGGTGGTGGTCCACGGTGGTGGTGAAGGACGGGAGAGGAAGAAGGGGGAAGGGAAGGGGGGAGGAGCAGGAGGACTGATATTTAGGAGCTATCAGACGGGACAAGGTGTGCTGGCAACCTTGTAACTTCCACGCCGTCAACGTTGGGTTCCAGCTGCGCGTGGTGGGGAATCTGTTTGTTTGTTCTTTTCGCCCCTCGAGGCGCAATGGGTCGAATGCGCGGGCGATTCAGCCATCGGCTGGTCTTTGAATTCGAACGGAGACGCTGCCGATACCGAAGTTCGCTCCGTCGAGAGCTGTAACGGGACAGGGGAGAGCTGTGACGCTACTATTAATAATAAGCGTAACGCTGATAATAATGTTGGTGCGGGTGGTACTTGGCCATACGCAGAACAATACGCGTACCAATCGTACTTTCAACAACAATACTAATACGGCTAAGCATATGAAGACTAACCAACAATAACATACGACTGATATCGTAATACCAAGAAGGCTACTACACATAAGGCATGTTATTAATAAAACGACGCATGGAAACAATAATAACACGACGCGCATGATGATACAGAAGAGGAAGAGGAGGACGAGGAGGAGGACGAAGAAGAGTATGAGGTATATTCATATTAGTAATACCTAAAATCGTAATGATCAGAGTAGTCGTAGTAGTAGTAGTAGTAGTAGTAGTAGTAGTAGTAGTAGTAGTAGTAGTAGTAGTAGTCGTAGTAGTAGTAGTAATGATAATGACCATACGACTTATACTAACACTATGGATGGCAAGACGAAGGCCAATACTACTAGTACTACTACTACTACTACTACTACTACTACTAACACGGATCATGATAATGCTAGTAGTAATGGTAGTAGTAGTAGTAGTAGTAGTAGTAGTAGTAATAGTAGCAGTAGTAGTAGTAGTAGCAGTAGTAGTAGTAGCAGTAGTGGTGGTAGTAGTAGTAGTAGTAGTAGTAGTAAGTCGTAGTAAGTTTAAGTAGTAGTAGTAGGAGTAGTCGTATGTTTGTAGTCCGAGTAGTTATGTATACCTAGTACTAGTACCAGTAAGTACCAGTAGTAGTAGTAGTGGTAGTAGTCAGTAGTACAGTAGTAGTATAGTCACTCGTAGTAGTCAGTACGTAGTGTCGTCAGTCGTAGTAGTTAGTAGTATTCGTAGTCGTCGTACAGAGTTGTGGTAGTGGTCCTTTACGGTCAGTCGTAGTCGTGTATTAGGTAGTAGTAGTGGAGTACTAGTAGTCGCAGTAGTAGTAGTAGTAGTAGTAGTAGTAGTAGTAGTAGTAGTAGTAGCAGTAGTAGCAGTAGCAGCAGTAGCAACAGCAGTAGTAGTAGTAGTAGTAGTAGTAGTAGTAGTAGTAGTAGTAGTAGTAGTAGTAGTAGTAGTAGTAGTAGTAGTAGTAGTGGTAGTAGTAGTAGTAGTAGTAGTAGTAGTAGTAGTAGTAAGTAGTCGTAGTAGTAGTATTAGTATTAGTAGTAACAGCATTAGTAGTAGTAACCGTCGTTGTGTCGTAGGATTCGTAGTAGTAGTTAACGTCGAAAAAAAAAAAAAAAGGGTTTCGTAGTAATAGTAGTAGTATTAGTAGTAGTATTAGAGTAGTAGTAGTAAAGGATGGGTGGTGGTATGCAGTAGTAGTATTGAGTAGTAGTAGAGTTTCGTATGTAGTAGTAGTAGTATAGTAGTATGTAGTAGTAGTAGTAGCAGCAGCAGTAAAGTAGTAGTCAGTAGTATTGTAAGTAGCGTAGTCGCAGTCGTGGTAGTCGATGGTAGTAGTAAGTATTAGTAGTATAAGTGAGTCGTAGTAGTCGTAGTATATAGTAGTAGTAGTAGTAGTAGTAGCAGCAGCAGTAGTAGTAGTAGTACTAGTAGAAGTAGTAGTATAAGTAGTAACAGTAGCAGTAGAAGTAGTAGTAGTAGTAGTAGTAGTAGTCGTATTAGTATTAGTAGTATTAGTAGTATTATTATTATTATTATTAGTAGTAGTAGTAGTAGTAGTAGTAGGAGTAGTAGTAGTAGTAGTAGTAGTAGTAGTAGTAGTACTAGTAGTAGTAGTAGTAGTAGTAATAGTACTGACAACAATATTCATAAGACAAAGAGTAGTAACATTCACAAGTGTATGATTAATACTACCCATAGTAATATTACGATCATAATAATCTAGTAGTAACACTGACAGTAACGACAACTAGAAGAGGAGGAGGAGGAGGAGGAGGAACATGAGGAGGAGGCTGAAGAGGAGGAGGAAGAGGAGGAGGAGGAAGACGAGGAGGATTAGGAGGAGGAGTAGGAAAACGGACGAGAGGAGGAGGAGGAGGACGAGGAGGAGGAGGAGGAAGAGGAGGAGGAGGGTGAAGAGGAGGGGGAGGAGGTGGAGGTGGAAAAGGAGGAGGAGCAACAGCAGGAGGAGGAGGAAGACGAAGAGGAAGAGGAGGAGGAGGAGGAGGAGGAAAAGGATGAGGGGGAGGAGGAGACGGGAAACGAGGAGGAAACCTGTTCACAATCATACTTTTAATCAAACGAAGAATAACCATCATACATTCTATCAAACATTTAATCATACATTTAAGGTCACGAATAATGATACCACTAAAAATACTAACGACGCATATGATCAATACGGATACGAATAGTGAGAAGAAAATGGCGAGGAGGAGGTGAATATGAGGTACTCACGCAACAACTTCGTCACTCATGTTCGGCGAACGCCACAACACAACGGAAAGGAGGTGAAGGAGGAAGAGGAAGAGGAAGAGGCTGGCACGGGCGCCAGCGACTAGTGCGCTGCCGCCGCGGATTTCGTCGCCGTAGTCGGCGTCTTCGTAAGCGTCGTCGTCGTCGTTGCCGGAGGTGGGGTTTTTGCGGGCCCCCCGAGTATTTCCCGGGGTGGGCGGGGTTCCAGGCCCCGGAATGAATTTCTGGGGGGGGGTG